CAGCAGGGACCGGGTCTCGTCTCTGTTGAGCTCCGGCCGCACTCCCATGCGGCACAGCGATGTCTCGCTGAGGCCGCCACCGCGCCCACGTTTGTTGGGAACGTCCTGGCTCGAATGCCCCAGCCATCTTCGGAAGACGTCCTGGCTCGAATGCCCCAGCCATCTTCGGAAGATAGATAGACGAGGTTCCAATGTTCAAAGACTCCTTGAGAGGAGCACGGCCTCTTCCACCGATCATCACGGATCATCACGCGGATCACCAGCTCCGCGGGACAGGGAAATGGAGCCACTCCCTCCCAGTTCCCGGAGGTTGGGACATGGATCCACTCAGGCTCCAGTCGTTAGCTCAGAAGGTCTTGGACCATTGGACCCCCCTAAAACCCACCCCAAAGACCTTCTCTGAGAGCTGTGGGAGGGGAAGCTCCTCTTTAAACCTGCGTGCCCGACTGGTGCGTGTTTGTCCAGTTGAGCTGACCCCACGCAAGGAGACCACCCACGCCGCTACACGAATCCAAAGTAAGTTCAGGCAGGGCGGGCTGCTGAAATCCTTGAGAACATGAGCTCATGCTATGCTTTGCACATGGTTCCCCTTGGTTCTTGCTTTTCTTGCTTCAATCGGGCGCTGTGCATGCTGTTGACCCCACCTTCGCAGCATACCACGGTATCCAAGGTCAGGAGTTTTGAGCGTCTTAATCATCAGTTTCAGGGACACTCCAACGAAAGCGCACGAAAGTGCTGGGACGAATGCAAAGTGCCCTTACAGCCTTACACAAGCCTTGCCTGGACTTCCTTCAAGAAGGCCACCCATGGAGCACTAGGCCCTACAAATCTCTACATCATTCCTTAATGTAGACTCTTGATTAGTAAGCCCGCTTACAATCCAAATGTGGGATTGTATGGTTGGTCAAAAGAGCTACATGACCTACCCTGAAACGCTCCCCACACTCCCGGTCCTACCAAAAGGAACGCCCCGGCTCACCGCCGCTGCTTCTCTGGCTGCGCCAATCAGGCAGAAGCAGGCCAACACGGAAGTGGAGGTGCTCCGCCGGCGCCGCTTTCAGGAGGCTGAGAAGGCACAGAGGCGGAAGGAGTTCCAACAGCACTTCATGGTGAAGATCGAGATCTCGAAGGACCGGAGGGTTGAGAAGTTGGTGAGCCCTCTCGCCCCCCAAACCTTTCCCCTTCAAAAATTCAAGGAGGGTAGTTGGTGGGACGAGCAGGAACGATGGTTACAGCAACCCGGGTGAGTCTGTCCAAGAAGCCTGCAAACATCTACAATGCATCTACACCAATCCGATCACGCACAACGAAGTGGACAATGGCCAGTGAGTCAGAGAGTCAAAATGTGTCAACCTTGACATTTCGATATGCAGATAGGCTAGGTAAGTGTGCCCCTCCCCTCGGGCATAGTGCACATTCGTTGCGGCTTAGCCCAAGATTGGGTCCTGCCTAGGCCCTACTGCCTACCGAAAGAAACAACTACGTAAACCCATCGGGAAATCCAATGGCACTGGCGGCACTGGTAGAGCCATTGAATAGACACAAATTGCTTGGGTGTGTTACTGTGAAACGTTAAAGCCACATCGTCCTACAAATTCTGCTGCTGTATATAAAGAATTTCGATGACTGAACGAATGGGTCATCACTCCGCAGGACGATTCTGCCAACTCTGCAAATGTGCAAATCAGCGTTGTCGCGAGGGAGCCGGATCCTGAAACTGCTCAAGCTGCTACCAAGATCCAGGCCAAGTTCAGGCAAAGGCAAGCCGCGAACGAAGTGGA